TAGTGCAACCATTGTGGAAGATAGTGTGGCAATTCCTCAAGGATCTAGAAATAGAAATTCCATTTGACTCAGCAATCCCATTACTGGGTATATACCCAAAGGATTATAAATCATTCTGTTATAAAGACACATGCACACGTATGTTCATTGCAGCACTGTTTACAATAGCAAAGACTTGGAACCAACTCAAATTCCCATCAAGGATAAACTGGACAAAGAAAATGTGGCACATATTCACCATGAAATACTATGCATCCATAGAAAAGGATGAGTTCATGCCCTTAGCAGGGACATGGATGAATCTGGAAACCATCATTCTTAGCACACTGACACAAGAACAGAAAACCAAACACCACATGTTTTCACACATAAGTGGGTGTTGAACAATGAGAACACATGGACACAGGGAGGGGAACATCACACACTGGTTGGGGAGTGGGGGGCTAGGGGATCAAGAGCAGGGGTTGAGGAGGTTGGGAAGGGATAACATTAGGAGAAATCCCTAATGTAGGTGAAGGGAGGATAGAGGCAGCAAACCACATGGCATGTGTATACCTGTGTAGCAATCCTGGAAGATCTGCGCATGTACCCCGGAACTTAACATATAATAAAAAATAATAATAATAAATAAAAAACAAAAAAAAATGCAAATCATGAGAAAACACAAGAAAAAACACCATCTGAAGACACAAAGCAAGCATGAGAAACAAACTCAGATATGACACAGATTTTGGAATTGTCAGACAGGAAATTTAAAATAACCATGATTAATATTCTAAGGAGTCTAATGGAAAAGGTAGGCAGCATAAAAGAACAAATGAGTGACATAAACAGAACAATAGACTCTCTAAGAAATTATCAAATGAAAAGGCTAGAAATCAAAAACATTGAAACAGAATGAAGAATGGCTTTGATGGCTCATCAGTAGACTAAACACAACCAAGGAACAAATCAGTGATCTTCAAGATATGTCAATAGAAACTTCTTTCCAGACTGAAATTACAAAAAAAATAACAATAATAATAATAATTTTAAAAAGAGAACAGAATATCTAAGAATCGTTGGCAATTTCAAAAGGTTTCATAGGCATACAGTTGTATACCAGAAAGAAAAGAGAGAAATAATTAAAATAATAATGGCCAAGAGTGTTCCAAAATTAACAACAGACAGCAAACCACAGAGCCAGGAAGCTCAGAGAACACAAAGTAGGATACATAATAAAATGCCTACACCTGGGCATATGATAGTAAAATTGAAGAAAACCAAAGACAAACAGAACATTTTCATAGACTACAGAGAGTTAAAAAATAACAAGAATTACAACATGTTTCTTGTCAGAAACGACGCAAGTAAAAAGAGGGTGGATTGAAATACTTAAAATGCTAAAAACGAAACAAAACAAAAACCCTAGAATTCTACATCCAGCAAAATTATCCTTCCAAAGTGAAGAAGAAATAAGTATTTTCTCAGGTAAACAAAAACTTAGGAAATTCATTGCCAGCAAACTGCTCCTGCAAGAAATATGAAAAGAAGTTATTAGGGAGAAGGAAAATTATAATAGTCAAAACCTCAGATCTACATAAAGAAAGGAAAGCTGCCAGAAAAGAAATAAGTGAAGGTAATATATATAAAATCTTTAATTTTTTTCTTATGTATTTATTTTTTTTAGACAGAGTCTTACTCTGTCGCCCAGGCTGTAGTGCAGTGACACGATCTCAGCTCACAGAATTCTCTGCTGCCCAGATTCAAGCGACCCCTCTGCCCCAGCCACCTGAGTAGCTGGACTACAGGCGCATACCGCCATGCCCAGCTGATTTTTTTGTATTTTAGTAGAGACGGGGTTTCACCATGTTGGCCGAGATAGTCTCAATCTCTTGACCTCGTGATCTGCCCTCTTCGGCCTCCCAAAGTGCTGGGATTACAGGCATGAGCCACTGTGCCTGGCCTCTTATTCTTTTTTAAAATAGGTTTGGGGTATGCACATGGCAGTTTGTTACACGGATATATTGCATAGTGGTGGGGTTTGGGCTTCTAGTGTACCCATCACCTGAATAGTAAACATTGTACCAAGTAGGTAATTTCTCAACCCTCAATCACCTTTTGGAGTCTCCAGTATCTTTTATTTTCTTCTGTATGTCCATGTGTACCCACTGTTTAGCTCCCACTTAAAAATGAGAACATGCAATACTTGATTTTCTGTTTCTGAGTTATTTCACCCAGAATAATGGCCTCCAGCTTTCTCCATTGTGCTGTGAAAGACATGATTTCATTCTTTTTTGTGACTGCATAGCATTCCATGGTCTATATATATCGAATTAT